CTTGCCGCTGACTTTCGACGCCGATTTGCTGACTTTGAAGCACAAAAAAGCAGGTTGGAACTGCTCGGTAACCCATTTGCTGTTGACGTGGAAAGCTCACCACCAAACCTCCAAATGGAGTTGATTGACCTCCAATGCAATGATGCACTGAGGGCAAAATATGCGGCAGTGGGTGCTGCGGAGTTCGCCCGTTTCCTCCCCGACACAATGCCCCAGCTGCGCATCCAGGCTGCTCAAACGTTGTCTATGTTTGGCAGCACATACCTGTGTGAACAACTGTTTTCTTTGATGAACTTGAACAAAACATCACACAGAAGTCGACTTACTGCTGAACACCTCCACTCAATTCTGAGGATTTCCTCAGCTCAGAGCCTTACCCCGAACATTGATGAACTTGTGGAAAAGATGGGACACCACCAAGTATCACCCTCAACCTCAAACAAGTGAACATTACTGTGCAATCACATATTTAGAGTTTTTACTCAGTTCAAGTTTAAAAGTTCAAGTTTAATATTTGTTTTCACTGCATGTTACTTCTCCTTAAACAAAGTGTTGTTTTTGATTAATAGATTTTTGCACTTTATTTTATTGTATTTCAATCCAATTATATTTTAAAAATATTTCAGTTGAGTGGATGATAGAAAATTGCTATTATTGTTTTTTTCTTTGAAGTAAATTTAGCCCACTTTTGCTAAAATAGAAAATATAGGCTACTGATGGTGCCTTGAATACCGGTTTCTTTCATTTAATGTTCATGTTATGGGGATTTTTATATAAAGGAAATTTGTCTTTTGTGTCTGTTGAAAATTAAAGATTACTGACAGAGCCATAAGAAAATATTGCTTTATTTATCTGATCATATTGGAATATATTTGTTAGGTTTTCAGTAGGTTCAATTAGGTTCACTAGACTATATGCGTCATTTAAAAATTTTTCAATGAACATTCGAACAGTCCGGCCCTCGGCTTGTAGCTAAATTTTTTATTTGGCCCTCCGTCCATTTGACTTTGACACCCCTGCTCTACTACGAACTAAAACGAAACAAAACAAAAAAAACTATCAAATTCTATTCATTAGTCTTGTATTCTCTAAATATGCCAAAAGCAGTTACCAACACTTGTCCCTAAAGCCCTTCTTCAGTACATCGCTTATATTTGCCTCTGCCAGCTCTCTTGGCCCCTTTTTCAGGACTTCTCTCTCTGCCTCGTACCTCTCACATGCCATCAAAACATGGTCCACAGTTTCCTCTTCTTGACAGTATTCGCACCTTCCATTTCGATGTTTCCCAACCATATAGAGGGAACTGTTAAGACCAGTATGGCCATTTGTTAGCCGTGTCATTATCCTCTCCTCTTTTCTATTTCGTCCACTAGCTCCTACACTCCCAATCAATGGTTTATTTTTAAACAGATATCTTCCTCTGCTCCCTTTGTTCCATTCATTCTGCCATATCATTTTGATTTGTCCCTTAATTACCCCTTTAGCTTCTGCTTTACTCATCTTTATATTGACTATTTTTCTCCCACTTTTCAGCGCCCTTTTTGCTGCTTTATCCGCCTCTTCATTTCCATCGACTCAAACATAGGCAGGGACAAACCGAACTGCCATCCGTATTTGATGGATTCTAAATAGGGATTGTAGGATTTCGAACATTAGATCATCTCTGCTTCTGGAGTGGCAAAACTTCGACTCGTTAGCACTGCACCCCAGTCTGATGATATAACCACTCTCTCTGGCCTGACATCCTCTACCCACTGTAGTGCAAAAACTATGGTCATCATCTCGCATTTAAATACTGATAAGTCATCACTGAGTCTTTTCCCACACTCATACTGGAATTCTGGTATTACTGCTGCCGCTGCTTTTCTACCAGGTTCAGGGTCCTTAGCTCCATCTATATAAATTTGTATTTAGCTATGGTAATTCCTCCTGATATATGACTTGCAGATCTTACATTTACCCCCCCTTTCAGGAGGGGGAGAGGAAATCAGCCACAGCCATCTGCGCCCCCGGCCTATGGACCACCTGGAAATGAAAAGGCTGTAGAGCCAGATACCACCGAGTGATCCGGGCGTTGGCATCTTTCATACGGTGGAGCCATTGGAGCGGGGCGTGGTCCTAACAGAGGGTGAAAGAGCGTCCCAGGAGGTAGTAGCGCAGGGAGCTGACCGCCCACCGGATGGCCAGGCACTCTTTTTCCACCGTGCTGTACCTGGCCTCCCTCTCGGACAACTTCCGGCTGATGTACACCACGGGGCGGTCCACCTCCCCCCACCTCCTGGGACAAAACGGCCCCCAGCCCTCTGTTCGACGCGTCAGTCTGCAGAATAAAGGGGAGAGAGAAGTTAGGAGTATTGTATTGTAGTATCCCCACAGAAAGCCTGCTTCCACTTCTCAAACGCCTGCTGTCACTGCTCCGACCACTGGACCGGATCTGACGCACCTTCCCTGGTGAGGTCGGTCAAGAGGCTGGTGAGGTCTGTGAAGCCGGGGATGAACCGTCTGTAATACCCCGCCAGCCCCAAGAACCGCCTCACCTCTTTTTTTGTCTTGGGCAGGCCGCGATGGCTGCTGTCTTGTCCACCTGAGGGCGCCCCTGCCCGCCCCCGAAGTGGTACCCCAAATACCGTACCTCTACCCGTCCAACTGCACACTTCCTGGGGTTAGCGGTGAGCCCCGCCCGTTCCAGTGCCTCCAGCACTACGCCCACCTGCCGCACATGCTCCTCCCAGGTGGTGCTGTGGATAATCACGTCGTCCAGGTAGGCGGCAGCATATGCAGCGTGCGGACGCAGCACCCGATCCATGAGGCGCTGAACCGTGGCCAGAGCCAAACAACCCGAAGGGAAGTGTGGTAAATTGGTACAAACCGTACTTTGTGGAGAATGCCGTTTTCTCCTTGGACTCTGGCGACAGAGGAATCTGCCAGTAGCCCTTGGTTAAATCCAGTGTCGTGAAGAAACGTGCAGTGCCTAGCCGGTCCAGGAGCTCGTCGACCCGGGGCATTGGGTAGGCATCGAACCGTGACACGTCATTCACCCTGCGATAGTCCACTCAGAACCGTACTGATCCATCCGTCTTAGCCACAAGGACGATGGGGCTGCAACAGGCACTGTTGGACTCTTCTATTACCCCCAACTCCAACATACTCGCCAATTCCCTCCGAACCACTTCTTTCTTGTGTTCGGGCAACCTGTAGGGTCGTGACCTCACAGTCACACCCGGGGGCGTCTCGATACTGTGCACTATGAGTTCGGTCCGGCCTGGCAAGGGAGAGAAGACATTAGCAAACCGCTCCTGCAACCTGGCGACGTCCGCCCTCTGGCTCTCGGAGAGATAAGCCTCTCGAGGGAGCGAGGTATGATTACCTGCTTTTGGAACCTCCGGCCCCAGCTCCTCCCTCTCCGATACCGTGGAGACCAGAGAGACAGATTCCACCGCCCTCCAGGCTTTCAGGAGGTTCAGGTGGTATACAGTATCTGTGTACCCCCGCCCCTGTCAGACCGCACCACCTCGTAGTCGAGGTCCCCCACCTGCCGTGTGACCTCAAAGGGCCCTTGCCACTTGGCTAGGAGTTTAGAGTTGGAACAAGGAAGTAATACAAGTACCTTTTCTCCCAGTGTGAATCGTCGCAGCCTGGCCCCTCTGTCGTACAGCCGTTGTTAGCGCTCCTGTGCCAGCAGCAAATTCTCTTGTGACATCCGGCCCAGTGTGTGGAGTTTTGCTCGCAGGTCCAGGACGTAGTGGATGTCATTCTTGCAGGGGCTTGGACCTTCCTCATAGCTTTCTTTAATCAGGTCCAGCACCCCTCGTGGCGTCCTGCCAAACAAAAGTTCAAATGGAGAAAATCCCGTGGAGGCCTGGGGGACCTCCCGCACTGCAAACAACAGAGGGTCAAGCCAGTGGTCCCAATTACGTTTATCTTCGCTAATAAATTTACAGATCATGGACTTCAGAGTCTTATTCATACGCTCCACCAGCCCATCCGTCTGCGGGTGATACACGCTAGTACGAATGGACTTAATGCCCAGTAACCCGTAAAGTTCTCTCAGTGTGCACGATATGAACAAGGTACCCTGGTCAGTCAGAATCTCTTTAGAGATTCCAACTCGGGAGATGACCTGAAACAAAGCCTGCGCGACGCTCTCTGCAGAGATATTGCGCAACGCACTGCCTCCGGATATCGCGTTGCGTAATCCATGAGGACTAACACAAAGCGATATTTGCGTGCGCTCCAGTGACACGGCCCGATGAGGTCCATGCCGATCCGCTCGAATGGAACCTCCACTAACGACAGAGGATGCAACGGCGCCCTCGGAATGGCCGGAGCGTTCACTAACTGACACTCCGAACTGAACTCTGAGTTTCCACTAAACCCAG